AGGGTTTGTCTGTTTGTATAATTTGAATATAATAAAGCATATGAGGACTAGCTGACAATGCTATGCTTTCGTGGAGAATGTTCTAGGGAAAACAGGCTCATATTTACATTGCACTTAAAGAAGACCATGAAAATGCTTACGCTTAATTGTAAGCTGTTAAGAGGGGGTGTCGTGCAGTCCCTTTGTTAAATTTGCTCTAATTTCCAAGCTCTTTTTGTTCGCTATTATATTTATTCAAAGAAAAACACATGTTACTCTCTCATCCTAAACCATCATTCTATACCTCATGTGAAAAACGATCCTCCTAGAAGATCAACTGATGTAAAAGCAAAAGTAATATATTTAAAAGCGAGTAATTTATTCCACTTTTCATGTAATTTCTGCAATATTTTGTAATACTTATCTTTTTTAATTAAAATTATTATTATTTTTTTTTTTTTTTTTTTTTTTTTTTTTTTTTTAAAATAGCTTCCTATTCCTTCACACTCATTTGCAATTTTCGTTTTTCTAAGAAGTGGAACATTTAATTAGACTCCGATACATTGTTTCATAAGTAGGTTGTTTGTTAAAATTTTCATAACTCACTTACAAAGCCAGCCCATTCACGGGGTTTCAAGCTATTAAAGAATTGCCAAGTTGATCATTCCATTCATTGATCTTATCGACTCAAATATAGTGAGCCTGAGTGAAAGGATAAATATCTTTTGCAAATATAAAAGCAATAATAAACACATTTCTAAATAATAATTTTAAAATATAATATTGACGGCTGTTTAAAGCTCATTTAAAAAAAGTTTTAAATGCAAATATATATTTTGCAAATTACAAATATTTTCGTAACATATGTATATTGTTACGAAAAGCGCGGTAAGATAGCTTCCCCGCTAAGCATGTTTAGGGTTGCCATAAAATGGCAAGGGAAGGCAAAGTTGCCACATTTGGCGACAAAAATTGGCGATATACCATGGACGAATAGAGAAACTTCTGGAACGAATTCTTATCGGTTTAGCCGAGAATGTTCTGGAACACAAGCCAAAAGCTATATAAACTCTGCTGGTACGCAGAGAGTCGGTCAATCAGTTAGTTAGTAAGAGTCCATCGAGTTGACAGACAGTCATTGAGTGCTAAGTTGGTCGTCGAGTGCACCGAAAGAGTCTCTTCGTGTATCGCGGTTAGTGAATTGTCGAGAGAGTGTGTTGAGCTCCGGGAACGACTGAACCGAAGAGTCAGGAGCTGTACTCTAGTGTACCGCCGAGTGCAACGCGAGTTGTTGTGTGGAGAGTCTCGAGAGTACGTGGAGTTCCGAAAACAACCGAGCAGAGTCGGAAGCTGTACTCTGGTGCTTTGCCGTGAAGCTGTCTTCACCGTGATAGCCCGAATGATGTGTTGCTGATGGTTCCAACGTGTTTATTGCAGTTCTTCGATGACTGAAAACGTGATTTTGGAGCTCTCTTGGATAATATTGGCCCATAAAGTGTGTTTTGATATTTCATCAAGTGCTGTTGTCATTATTCACCCCAAATCTGCACGAACCCGTAACGAGTGTACTAAAGGCAGAAAAATAACATAACAGCTGGTGTCAGAAGTTGGGATTTGCGAGTGAATGCCAGTTGTTGCGTTATTCTTCTCCTTCTTTACGTACGGGTTCGTGTGGATTTGGAGTGAAACAACGACGACACTACTTGATGATGGAGTATCAAAACACACTTTATTGGCCAATATTCTCAGGCCGGCTCTTTTACTTTTTTTTCCAAATACATTTTGTGTATAATACCACGGCAATCCCACTAGATACAAAGCATGATATTTTTGTTGGTCAAATTGCGCTTTTGCAACGCTGCCGACGGGCACACTGGGCGCAAACCAAACCACTCTTCGGTCTGTGTTGTTGAAGTTAATTCCCTTTTCATCACAAGTGACGATCCAGTCCAGAATCTTGACCTTGCGTTGATATTCGAGCAGATTAGTGCATGCCCGAATGCGTCTATCCTTATCTGCTTGAGTCAGCTCGTATAGCAACCAGCGATTGAACTTATACATCAAGTTTATACGATGCATAGCGCGACTAATGGACATGGCACTAACATCTAACTCCTTAGAAAGCTCTCGAGTGGTTGCATGCTCATCTTCTTGCACAAGTTTTCACAGGCAGGCCTCATCAACATGAGTAGGCCAGTCAGATTGCTCCTTAAATGTCATAGTCCTTGTTTTTTAACATTCGGTAGCAAACCTTCACAGTGTTGTATGATACAACATTAGTACCTAAAACCGTATACATGATTTGGTGACATTCTGTACCTGGCATTTTGCAACAGAACTGAAAGTAAATGATGGTTCTAATCTGGTAGCGGGATAGTTCCATTTCGGACACCTTGTACTTAATGATAACGATACATTTTGACAAATTTCACAGCACAGTGTTCGAAAGCGATCTTTCTTTCAAATGCCAAAAATCATTTGACAAAATATGATTAAATATGCCACTGCGAATTGTCTGCGCAGATGATATTTGCAGTGGCGGAAAACTTTCGTTAAAACCCGATATTCATGTTTCGGCAATGTCAAATTTAAGAAAGAAATTTATTTTTGACTAATAACAAAACCTAACTTTTGATGCGGTCTCCCGGTTAATGTGGGGTCCATATTTGGGATAGTTTTATACACGCTATAAAAAATAAAATTAGAGGACGTTTGATTCCCGTATAAGGAAAATTGATTGGAATATTTAATTCCAGAATTTGCAAATTTTGATGAGGGATCGATTAATTAAATTAGAATAATTCGAGGAAACGAGTTTAAGAGAAGTGCCGTAGAAAAGGTACATAATTTAATAAACCGTACAAGGAAGTCATGCGGAATCCACATCAGATGTTTTTTTCCTCACGAAACTGCTTATGCATATTCCTGACAGTCTTCCATAACATGTAGTTTTTCCTCCATACATAAGAGTAAGTCCTTCGGGGAATTCTGTTAGGTTGTTCACCTTTAGCAATAACTTTATTACGGCTGTCAGTTCCTACTCTGTAACCATACCGACAATTTTTTTCCCAGTTTTTCAGTTATGCGAGGCCAAAAACAACAACTGCTTTCCTTATTTTCAAGTATTTTTTTTCATTAATTCCTAGAAGCAGTACATTTGCACCAAAGCGATCACAAAAACTCTTCTTTCGCAATTGATCAATGAAATACTATAGCATTCTTAATTTTTGCATTACTTCGATTTATAGCTATGTGATTTAGCATTTTTGCATTTGAAAGACTTTTAAACTACGAAATTATTTCCTTTTTTAAATTCCATTCCTGAAACCTTTCTTCGAAAATTGTAAAATTTATTCCACATGTAACCGTCTTTCATAGAGAACAACGCCCAATGTGCGTCACAGGACTACGTTTTACACCCTTAAGAATGCAACTACAACTACAAACTTCCCCAGCTGATATCAGGACAAGTCCACGAAATTCATTGTGGCAAGGATGGAAGATTGCGCCTGTCATTGGCAAGACTTTTGATCACCGTACAGGTGACAGTTCGACTTTGCTCAGTTCCGCCCCCAGTTTTGAAGAAGAGCATGCCGGGGGAGTCGAGTTCGAGGGTCTCTCACTCTTTTCTTACTACCAACTTCTCGAGAGGATTTTGGGCTTTCCGCATATTTAATCTTACCCCATGCTGCATAGACACTATTCAAAAATCCATTCCTTATCCGGAATTCGATCCCGGAGCCTTCTGTACGACAGTCACAAACCTCAATCCCAGTTGGGCGGTGACTAGAATGTTGAAATTGCAGGATAAGAACTCTACATCCCATTGGCAAATTTCGCTTTTTGTCTTGTTAAGATCTTATAACTCAGTGTAATTCAAAGTCGATTGTCGCAAAAGTCACCGAATTCTCCAGTTTGGGACGGATGGTTAATTACGGCAAGCGCGCAAGAGCTTTGGTCTTGCCTGAGTAAAGAGAGAGATACCAATGAGAAATTTTCTAAGGGAAACTATTTCGTATTTACGTCACAAAAGGACAAAATCACGGAAATTCCGTCTAGCCAGACGTTTCGCTAAGATTGGTTTGGTCTGTTTTATTTGATTAGGACAAAGCACCCAAGGGCTACCTGTCTCAAGAAAAGAACGCCTTCATCAAGGACTTTCTAAGGGAAAAAGGTTCGTACCAACGTTACACATGGGGGGAAAACCACGAAAATGCCCATTCACCCTGCTCGTTCGCCTGGTGTGGAAACCAGGGGCAATTATTACTGTTCAGCGACTTTGCCGCTCAGCTGCTGGTCAACCTGTCCCTTTCTTAGGAAGTATATCTCTAATGAACTCGGCAATTTCATGTACCAAACCACCAATTGGCTGCCACAGCAATGCTCGAATTATTCACCTCAAACACTTTTCAAGTTATAACAGAAAATATATCATACAATTAATTGAATAAAACTGCTTACAGTCATTTTTGAACAATTAATAACATGGAATTTTGAAGTTCTCATCATTCTCATGAGCAGACGTGTCTCGACAAAGATGAAACTGAAATGAAAGACGAAATATTCCTCTTGAAAAGAACTTTTTATAATATTTTCTCATGATTATGGACTACTGATGCCTTAAACAGAATCTATAAACATACTTCCTTTATCTACATTTCCATTGCGTCATTGAAATTAGTTCTTGTTAAGCGTAGAATTTGAAATGAGCTTAAGTTCCAATTTTCTCCCTCACTACATCTCTATTTAATAACAGTATAGTAACACATGTAGTACAACCACATTACATAACTTCCTACTTTGTATTCTTTTAGAATTTTTACTTTCTTAGTAATAACCAGAGGAAAAAAACTTTTACTTCAATAGTTTTCGAAATCATATTTAATGCAAAAGAAGTATCTCAAACATTTGGCTATAGAATTAACATATCTGAATTGATAATTTCGCAAATAGATAATTTCATAAAAGGGCCCATTTATTTGGCCTTACTGCGGTGCTGTTTTAGTCTAAATTTTACTTACCGCACTGTGGCTGGGCGTTGATAACCCATATGATGCCCCAGACGATCCGCTCGTCCGGCGAGTCGCCTAGAAAGAAAAGACACTCAGATGAGTTTTGTTGCTAAAGTACTTAAGGATCGCTTTAATTAAGAAACTATTGATATATATTACATTTAAGTAAAAGTATTTTAAAATGAATAACAGATTTCCTTCAGGAGAGAATTATAATCCCAGCGTTCGTAAGTTATAAAATTATTAAAGCCAGATTCTAGTTTATCCATTCATTACAGCATTACGTTGATGTTCTTGTTCCGAAGGGTTTGACACTTGCAACTTAATATATTCGTTGGAAATAGGTTACACCCATGGGCCATTAAGCCGTCTGATGACCAGCGTTCATTGCAGAAGAAGACCGAATTTACACAACAAGAAAAGAGAAATTCCTTCCAGTTTTAATCCAGAACAACCCAGAGAACGGATCTGAGGGTCTCTACAACAAACCTCTCGAGAAGACCTTCGGCTTTCCAATATTTTAAGTGCCCCCGTACAGCACAAATACTATACACTTACAAATGTCTAAGACTTTCCCGGGATACGAACTCAGGCCCAACGATATACCTATCCTGATTGATCAGCAAGGCTAAACAATCAGGATAGATATTAGAGTATAATTAATTTATTAGAATACAAATATTATTTAGGGAGATCAGGAAATCAGACGTGGATCATATACTCTGTTTTAGTGTATATGATTGATGTAATAGATCATTTACTCTGTTCTGCTATATATTTGACAGAGAGGTCCATCGAACACCGAATGATAGACTATGGACGCTGGTTAGTTCCCTCTGGGCTCATATCTTGGCAAAAGAGCAAACTACATGGAATTTTTAGACCAAAGGGCGTTAGCCCAGAAGGGCTATTAATTTCGTTTTGGCATTTTGCGTCAGTTCAATTTCCGCGTTGATTCACTTTTCAATATGTTGCCACCAAATATTACAGACTTGTATTATATTTAAGAAATTAAATAATGAAGAATCTGCATATATGTATGCATGTTTCTCGCATTGTGATAAAACAACGGTACTAGAGCCATCAAATTTTGAATAACGTAATCCTCAACTGAATATGGGCATCTGGAAGCCTTAATTTGGAATTTAGAATTTGTTTTATTATCTAATTCATATTTTGTTGGACATTAAAGAATTTTTGATTAACAAACTGAACGATTTCAAAGCGAGAAGCGGCAGCACTAAAACGAAAGAAAAAAACATTTTTATCTCCAGCGTGCGAGACTGTGTATCAGAAATTTTAAAGATATACTCATTTTAGAATCATTTTGCGATAGTGCTGCTGAATTGAATTTTATGGTTTAAGTGCGAAGAACGTGATATTTAATAAATAAAGGTAATACACAAAACGTTAAAAAAACTCCCCTTTGGGCATAATGCAAAGTCTGAAAGCTTTCAGATTGAAAGTCTTCCATAAAGACATTCCTTTCTTTAAGTTTTTACTCCTAATGTGCTCTGTAGAAAATGCAAAAATTAATATCATCAAGACCTGAGCCGTCATAAATAACGCAAAACAGCTGTTTGTACGAGCACTTCATAAAAATTAACTTACATCAATAACAAACATTAAAATTCGTAAAACATTTTGCTGATAAGTGTAAGTCAGAATTCAGAAAAAAAAAAAAAAAAGATTAAATTGATACGTAAGAAAAATTCAAGCAAAGGGAAAACATTCCAAAGTTTCGAATGGTGAAAAATGCACGAAAATTCGAGCTTTCAAATTTGAAATCTTTTTCAAGATTCGAGGATTCTAGAAATTGAATGTCCATCCTCAATATTAAATTTTTCATTTTAAGTTTGTTACTCGGTTTTATTTATTTACTTATTTGGACCAAAACTTAAAAACGGCTTTTTTGACCTACTTCTGCAGAGGCGGATTTTTTTTAAATTCTTATATTCGTATTTGCGATGTCAACACAATATTTAGCTGCGATTTCTTCAAAACTCGATAACGATTATTTTTATTTAATGTTGATACGATGTTTTATCAATTCTTCGCATACGTTTTCAGTTAACGATTGAACTAACCACGGCAGAGTTTGAATCTTTGCATCTTCAGGTAGATAAGATATTAATCTTCTAGAACGAACTTTGTAGCATAATCAACCGATTTCTAACAATTTTTTTGAAAACTGATCAACTCTTCTGGTCATTGTATTTAAATTTGTATATCAGAAAATATATATTTTATAATGTCTTCGCGTTTTTGCAGATTACAATACGCACACTTCGCTCTCTTTTAAAACGTATTAATTTATGCATAGTTTTTGTTATTCTAGTTCCATTTAAATATTTTGAGATATTATTTGTAAATAGTACCCTTTGAAAACGTGATGACAGCAGGTTACTTCATGTCCTTTATAAATTTTAGAAATCTGAAATTAAATTTAAATGAAAACAAACACAGTGGGTCTTGCTAAGACCAAGAAAAAAAATTTTAGTAAAAGAAACAGAAAAAACAGACCTGTGGCTATGCAGAGTGCTCCATCGCGAAACTAAGTTGAAAAGGGGTTGTAATTCCCTTCTGTGTCCTTCAACGCCATCCCACTGGTCGTGTGACGTAAGTAGGGGGGAACAATGTCACTGGGCAGCAGCCAATGTGATTAGACTGTCTGTTGGCTGTACCTCGTCCCTAATTTTCAAAGGGGGGTCGGAAGACTCGGAAAAATTTCAAAATGGCGTCAGTCAAGTTGTTAGAAAAAAAAACTGTTTCTAAAAGTGAAAATGGCTAATTCAGCTAAAATTACTTAACATGGCCACAAAAGTAAGAGTAAAAAGGAAAAAAAACAGTCATTTGTTAATAAAAGTCGTAATTCTTCAAGCTGGAGGGCGATCAAGCTTCAATGAAAAACGAAAAGGCCCGATTTGTTAATAAAAGTAGTAAAATTGGCCATCAAAGTAATTTAAAACTATTTAAACAATAGTATTAAAAGTATTGTGCCAAAATTTTTTGGACGAAAGAAAATGTAGTGACAAGAATTATCTGCACATTTTTACATTAGATTCTCTGAATCAGCCATCCACTTTATACCGTCCCATTGGGCTTTAAACATAAAATATCACTATCTAATTCAAAAAATCTAAAAATTGGTAAGGCTAATGCCAGCTTTTTTTAATGTATTTTTAATTATTTTATGAGGAATTAGGTTATTTTTCAAGATAGTTACGAAGTATAGTATTTCTTCTTGAAGGTGTTTTGTAGTATTAAAGATTCTTTTTATTCTGAGTAGCTGTGAATAAATTGTGTTAAGGATGACTCTTTTGAAAATATTTGAATTCCAATTGGTTAAATTTAGTGTTGAAAAATTAAATTCTCTTCTTTTGTCGTAAACTTTTATAAAATTGTAATCAATAATATATGTAAATCAAGGTAGACTACATTATGTTGCACTATATTTGTATTATTTAGTTTTAAGCATGTAGGTAGATATTAGCAACTTCTATTTTGTTGTAGTTATTAAATGCAATGACATCATCAATATATCTATAGATGTGTTGGTAAAATTTATGTTCTTCTTTACTGAGTGAACGGACAAAGGTAAATTCTTTAGTAAAAAGGAATAATTCACAGACAGAACTTGAAAAATTACCTCCCATTGGAATTCCCTGTATTTGTTTAAAGATGCTATTGTTAAATTGAATAAAATTATTGAAAAGTACGCTGGAGAGGAAAAGTTGCCATTTTTCGTTGCTTATAATGGTAGAAATTTGCGGAAATAAATCTGGAAGAGCAAGTAAGCTTGTAAATATTTCTTCAAGTGGCAGAGAAGTATAGAGGTTTTCAAAGTCGTAGCATTGGATATGGTCTATTTTGAGTGAATTTACAGTTTTCAGAACTAGTTCGTTACTTGAAATCATCCAGTTGCAATGCAGATCCTTAAAATCATAGTTATTAATTAGGTCACGCATTAGTCGAAGTTTTTGTGCAAAAAGATAATCTATTTCTTTAAGATAACTTTTGGTACTATTAGCTATGAACCTGAATTTAATCGGAGACTTATGAAGTTTTGGTAGTGCATAGAGATTGGCAAACCTGTTGTTATATTTCTTGGAATGTATTCTTGTATTTCTTGGAATGTATGAAGTCTTTTATATAGTGCGTTAAACTTATTGAGAAGAATCTTAGTGCTGGTAGTAATTTTTTGGTAAGTGCATGTGTTATTTAACTCATTATGCAGAAGGTTGAAGTAAAACTGTTTTCAAATAATACTAAAATTGTTGCTGGCTTTGTCAGTCTTCGTGATGATAAAGTTATCTTGCAGTTTTTGAAATAAATAGTAAAGTTAAATCAAATTTAATATACTCTCTGAATTTAATGATATTGCAAATTAGTTCGCAGCAATAATTAATCTTTTATTTGTACACAATTAAATTTTCATAATTTAAAATTTAAATTCAAATTAGGGTTATACGAATGAGAGAATCTTTGTTTAATATATTGGATATATATTGGAAAGATTTATATGTAATAGATTGGATTATTGCATAGACAGTATGATAAAATTTGCAGACAGACGTAGCCGTAGATTCAGCATAGTTTTACTACTCGATATCACAGTTCCCTACGAGCATAATCTGATCCACACATTATTATGGGCGCAATATGCACCCTACAGTTTTTGGAAGCTTACATCTTAAGACATGTTATGGATGCTAGAGAAAACTAAAATGCAACATATGTTAGCAGCAGCCAAGCAAGCAAAAAAAGTGTATGACACATTCAGAAGCTTGGAAGAGATAAAAATGTCTTAGTTTGAACAAAATCTTAGTCAGTGATTGGATAAGAGATGTCTGTATTGCATACCTAAGATCTTATGATGCGGATTAATTTTGAAGTGACGCAGTTCAGTTTAGTATGTTACGAATAGTTACTATTGTTTAGATAGAAGGGGAAGTACGCAAATTAAAATGAGGTACAAAAAAGGGCTATTGCCAATTAAAATTAGAAGTTTGCGTTATATATTTTTATCTTACACACCGAGACACAAATAGCTGAGCTGTTATATGTGTGCGTGT